AAAATTAAATCAAGTCCAATTGAAAATATTCAACAGGGCTCCCAAAAACTTAACGAAACCTAACCAGGTACCATTCGTCTGTCAGAGCTGTGAAAATTGCCCTTGCGTTTTGTATTTTAACGTATTTTTAAATTTTCGCGACAGAAAAAAAAACACAAACTTACAAGAAAACCTCTGTATTCAATAGGTATTTTGCACGTAGTAATAATTTTGTTTGTATCAACTGAACTAAATACAACACGTGTATTATACGACATACAGTTTTCAAATGGCTTTGATTACGTTCGTAAAAAGAATTAATTCTGAAATAAAGCCAGTGCCTGCCCTGTCCCTGTCCCAAAGTCCCTGCCGGTCGATCCAAGCAAAATAAAACCGTATTACTATGGGAAAAATTTGAATTCGCGCTGAGGTAGTATATAATATAACTCGTAAGTGATGCGGCTACCCAGTGCCACTCCACTCAAAACTTTAAATTGCAAAGACTTGAGGTGCACCGCGATTGCGTCCGTCATCGTGAGAAATAAAGTTGACAACCTCCACGAGCCTGTAGTTTCGCCAGCACCCTCAAACCTTTAAAATTAGAACGCAGTAATCCCAAAATTACTGGCCGACAATGAGCTCTAAAAGTGAGTTGGTCACAAAATGTTCACCATGTTAAAAAACTATTTCCTTATAGTGATGACACGAACTTGGACATTGTTCACAAAAGTCACCAATAGTGCCACTTTTCTAGGAATCAAAAGCGACTTGTTTGTGTGTTGACTCCTACATAACACAAATTCTGAATTCGAAGTTCCAGAACAAATAATAATAAGTGTGGATTATGGTAATTTGATCTATTCCGTATACATATAACGCTGGCCAGTTAGCTGTCGGTATAATAATAGTATGATAAATAATTCGGGGTTATCGAGGGGGCCGCATTCGCGATTAAAACAAGGGTGGCCATGGATTTACAGCATTTAGTGCGGTGGGCCACGTACCTAAAGATTATGACTGCATCGAAAAGTAGGTTATCGCGATTGACACTCATTGAAAACGATATTGTTTTTTTTTTTTAAATTAAAATTAAAGTACATTAAGTTTTGATTCTAGGGTCAGCAGACTAATAAAGAACATAAGTCAAAAAAGTGCTTTATTTGTTAATATATATTTTTTTGTGTTGGAAGTTAAATAACCTCTAGAATAAAGTTCAAAATTTGTGAAGTAACAAATGAATTTGACTTATGTGCTTTAGCCAGTAGATGTGTTAATTTAAATGAATGACGTTGGATTTTGACTTATGATTTAGTCCGCCGACCCTAGAATTATTGTTGTAACTATAGTTCAGAATACGTTGGTTTGCATTAATATTAGACATGACTATTTGATGACTAAAACCATCTCAGGCAGAATTAACTACGGTTTGTTTGAAAAAAACAAGTTTTATTTCCAACTATGACAATCTGTACGATATTGTGTCTAAATCGTGCAATTGAGTGTACGCATAAGGCATCCCTGGCGTCAAAACATTTACTCGAACAATTACTTGTAAATGTAGACTTTAAAGCTGTTAATTGCATAATAATACGTATGCGAACAGCAATGACTTTTGGAAACTTAAGTACCTAGTAGGAAGAACGAGTGAAAGTACTATTACAGATACGGACCTCACGGCCAAACTGAAGTGCAAATTATAGGTGAGCATTGATATTGCAAAAATAATGGCCTACATCACGCAGAAAAGAAGAACTAAGGTATGTGAATGGGTGTGATACACGAGTGTACAATTCCCCTTTCCAGTCCCTGACCTTCACCCACAAAATATCTACCAGTTTCACCGAATTATGGTCCCTACGCAATAGGTAATAAAGCCAAGGTCATGCGGCACGCACTCTACGAAATCCTTCAATCCGGTCGTCGACCTACGGAAGTTGAACGACCACTCAACAAAGACCTGTCGCCAATACTGCTACAACCCCAAAGTTGGTGTTATCTGTACAAACATAGTGTTTGTTGGAGATGAAGTTAGCTGGTCGCTGGTTTTATGCCATTATCTCATGCGGCCTTCTCTGATGTAAATCACATGGTCAAGATTTTTTTTATTTATGTTACTGCGCAGAATTCTGGGAGGAAAATCGATAGTAAAATATGAATTGGTTGAAAATGATTACGTTTCTGGTTCTGTTGGCCTAAGTGGAATTCACTTGTATTATATGAAATAAATAGAAATGTCATAATTAAAACTTGAAACTTATGCAATGTATAATATAATAAAATCATGAATATAATTTGTATTGACTTGACTTAACTACTTAAGAGCACTCAGCGAAAGTATTTCTGTAATGAACAATAAAGCCAATAAACCCAATATAATAAACATTATAACAACCAATACATAGTGTTTAATATACAGTGAATTAAGTTAATTTAAGTATCGAGCTTGTTAGCTCATCGCTAGGTGGTTAAATCACTAAGTTTTTTACCTAACGATAAGTAATCGACGTTTTTTTTATAAAATTTGCTTGAAATTGAAAAAAAAACTAAAATTGAAAAACATCTCAAATTTTCGCCATTACTACACATACGCAATGAAAGTATTGTTTTGCATCGCGTATATAAATTTTTTTTTTTTCAAACAAACCAACCTTTCCGGGGCTTTAAAGGTCCCAATGATACGTCTACTGAGTAATTAGCAATTGCTTTGTTGGAAAAAACAAATATACGCGATTTTAGGTCCGACAAAAAAATAGTTTCATTTCCACTTAATTTTTATTGAAAATCATTCACCAATACATCAACCAAGAAGTACATTTCAGTATCTGTAAAAAATCTGTAAACCTGCGCAACAGCTACGAACTTTGACCTCATAGTGCAATATTTTGAAACAATGCTCTTAAAGGTATCAAATACTATGTACATTTAAAGGACGTACGATGATATTTGAAAAGTACTTAACTCAGCTCAGGGATAAGCTTTCAGATTAGGAGGGGTGGCAATGTAAAAAACTGCCGCCTTCATGATCCCTTTTATAAGTGGATGGATACTCACTGGCTATGATTTTTTAAAAACCTTATTACCAACTACTGACACCACAAATATTTATAACGTAATTCAGCTATAGTGAAGTTCAGAGGTTGACAAAAGCTTACAATACAAAGATATAAAAGAATCAATAAATAAGGATTGATACTGTAAATCATACTTAACGTAGTCTTATCTTCAGGGATATATTTATGTGAACCAAGTAAGGGCAAAAGAAATAGACAAGTATAAGAACTGAGGCTAGAAATTCTACACTTTGACGTACCGACGTGACGTGACGTTGTTTTAATAACCGACATTTTCGTAGGGCGTGTCCATCGAGTATATAACCAGAAATAGAGACGGAAAGTCATATAATTTGTTCGAAAACTATTCTGCCATATCATTACTGTGACAACTGCGCTCCGATTGGCCAGCATAAACAATTGACGAGTGTTGTCAATGGGTGTTGTCAACTGTTTCACTTCAAATCGACCAGTTAACTTGAGCTTAGCTTTAATGGACGAAAATTGCAACATTACATATTTAATATTTAATTACCGATGAAATATGATCCCGTTCGTTTTGTAATTAGATGTTTTGCTATTTTTCCCACACCACCGAATAGAACAGCACGGCATTGTTAGAGATATTATCTTTATTACAATAAATACAGAATATTTTTTGGAATATACGGAGACGTACACACAGGCAGTAGTTGGCCTGTCTATATTTCAGTGCAAGCGAGAGTTGATATTTATAAGAGCTGTATCGCTAATGTGTTATCAGGAATATGTGGCCCTTATTTCGTCTCTATTTCTAGTTATATACTCGAAGGTCGTGTCATTTTAAAATGGCATCCAGTTTTGATACCAGATGAAATCAAACATTGCAAAAATTAATATTGTTTCTGAAATATGGTATCGTAACTGATATTACCAAAAAATTTTCTATTATTTTGAGCACTGCAGAGATCGCTTACCGGTCACATCGTCTACACTACTTGAATATTTCAAATAAGCTCAGTTTAGTATAACAATTAGCAACTTCATGAATGAAAACATTGACATGAAACTTGCATTTCGAAGAAGGTTCATTGAAGACGTACGATGTCCAACCAGCATCAGACCAGTGCACGAAGGAACTGTGTCTTAAACCTCGTCAGACAACATCTACGTAGAGTAATATGTCGCCAGCGGGCAGATTTAAGAGGTATCAACCAGATACAGAAATCACAATGACAAAATATTGTATAAAAACATACAAATGCGTAATTATTGCGCTAGGAAGCGTGAAGTTTCAAGACGCGAATGATAAACTTTGACATTGTCCATTAATAGAAATAGTATTACGTATATGACTGATATAATTCATTGTTAATTCGTTTGAATGGGGCCAATCGTGTAAGAATTAGATTTGGAGCCAGCGCAATAGTAACATCCGGTGATGGTAGCAACAGTTTCGTTCTTTCAAGTTGTTCCGAGCTTTGATCTTTTTAAATAATTATTGTAAATGATGAATGTAAACAATTTTTTTTTACAAAGCGCAATCACTAAAGTTTCTAACCCATTTTTCTCAGGGAAATATTGTAGTGTTGTAGTAAGTATTGGTAATTTTAATTTACATTGTAAACTGTCTTCTGCACGGTCTGGTAATTGCGTGTAAGCATAATTACAAATAAACAAATGACGCCTGGGGTCAAACGCATTAATTGAAATCCAGAAAATGGGTTTGGGAAATGAATATGATTCCACAGTTAACTACAGGGTAAGGTTAACTGATAATTGACAACCGAAATGGCGTTTATTTTTAAGATCATTATGTAAGGCGCAGCATAGAAGATTATTGTGAATTTATTACATCAACATGCATTTCAGTTATCTACAGTAACCTGTGTTAACAAATAAATACATTTGAATTTAAATCAATGTTCATTCATACGTTGTAGGTTTTAAATACCTCGCTTGTTTTAATCAGTTATATAAAAATACACTTACCTTAAAACTTTTCTTCTATTATTAGGATGCAGCCGTGATGCCATAACAGGATCAATAGATTTCAATTTCTCATGAACTTCTTCATTAGTGAAGTTCTTTTCATTATTCACGTATTCCTGAAGTTCTTCTTTAGTTATTTTCTCTGTTTGTACTTTTCTTTCTGGATTGTCTTCTGATTTAGAAGATTCAACATCAGCTTTTAAATTTTGGCTTTTGTCCATTGATTTAAGACATGCTGTAGTTTTTATGTCATCATTAACTTCTTTGCTCATTTCTTCATCTTTATCAGAAACTACGAAATGAGATTTTGTACTGCTTTCAGAATCAAATTCACTTTCAATGCAAAGTTTTTTAGTGTTCCTACCATTACCTTCGTCATAATTATCTGTATCTCGTTTCCTTCTACTTTTGTCCCATAGTAATGCTTCTGAATCGTTCGTGTCCTCGACTAAAATTTTGTACACTACGGACTCTATGTAGTAATTTGTACCTCCAACTATTATGGGGATTTTGCCTTTCTCTGTTAGACTGTCAATCTGGTTTAAAGGAGTTAAGAACTTCGATTTAAAAAATACATAAATTTAACGACAAACTTTTGAAATTGTAAAGTCGGTAAGTCATACTACTAAAAGGTTTTGCTCAAAATTACGGAACTAGTTGTCTATTTCATACACAATGTATGATGATAAAATGATCAAAATTCAAAACTTCCTTACAATTAAAACCTGAAAGACTTGTTGTCCTATATTCAAAGTTAATGTTAACAATTTTCAGTTTTATCGATATAAGTTTAAAGGTTTTCGATATCTCTTATATTTACTGAATAATCGCCTGGGCCCACTTAACGATTACACCCTGTATAAAGATTACAGGAGAAATCGACATTCGGTTTTCGTCATGAAACATAATTTCATATTACGACCAAAGTTAGTCTAGACTATCAAGTCACTATGTCATAGAATTCCTATAAATATATACTGAGCAAATTCGCAAATACATTTTAATTTCGCCACATTTTTAAATGCACGCGTACTAAACGTATATTATTAGTGCACAAATCGGATTAAATGGTGAACGGCCGTCATATGGTAACGGCAAACTTACAAGTATAGGTAACTCTTACCTATCCAATTGGGGCAATAGACTTATAAGAACTTATCTTTGTAAGCTTGGAGGAACCTTAATTAATTATTGATTTAACGTAAATGAGGGCGCCTCTAGTCTAACATACAAGTTATTTACAAGAGTGGGGCTTCTCTCTCTTCAAGAGCTCGTATCGATTTTATTATTCAAATGGAACAACTCTTGTATATATTTTTTAGTTTAGATACACAATCGGCGCATACACAGTGAAATTTACAATATCTTTGCTTTTCAATTTATATACAACTTGTTATGCCATTACCGGCAGCAGTTACGTAGCGTCTTGATATCTGGGCATCTAGGTAATACAAGATAAAAATTACGTAACATAAAGGTAAAATAAAAAGAACTATCCAAAACATCATAAACTCCAATAACATAACCCTTAGAACAGTCGTTAAAACATAATACATGAGTCGTGAAAGATGTTAACTTCGAGTTAACGTTGTTAGAAGTTCTCATGCTACGGTAAGGTAGAGAAAAATGGCCCATATTAGTACGAGATAGAGGAAGCGAAAATATGTTTGGGGTATCACCAAATCAACCTGAAACATTAATTGGGGCGTGTCGAGCTGCATATGTAAAACTTTGTAGAGAAAATTTAGGTCTCTAATTTACCTCAGTCATGAATTTTTCAAACTTGTAATGCAGTAGACGCGCGTTTAGTCTGCTCTATGTAGCATTGTCTATTCTTATACGTGATGTATCTTGTCTACATGGATTTGACAGTGGAGATTCAAAATTGCATATTCAAGAGTGCTGCAGATTTTTGAATTGGAATTGGAATAGGCGAGAGTTGTGACAATATTGCCTGAACGTTTTTAAAATTTTTAACGCTTTACGAACACATTTTCCATGAATTTTTGACTATACTATCTGTCTATCTGTACAATGTGGCTTGACTTACTGTCTATTAGCTCCCATACCCAAATCTTAAAGTTTGTTGGTTCATTAAGAATTGTTTAATAACTGAAGAATATTTGAAAGACTTAAATGAGTTTTTTTTCTTGTACAGTTCGAGATCGGCGGCATACAGGATATAGATTGGAAACCATTTAAAGTAACACATTGCTATCGTTCGCATCGTCAGGTGAAACTTGAATACCACAATCATGTAGACTTGATAACAAAATACAATGGTTTATACTATCGAACGCATCGCTAAAATCTATGTATAGTTTATAGGTAATACCACAATTAGTTGGCTTGTTTTAGATTTATAATTCCAAAAGCCGTACCTCTCAGCAACTATATTACTCGAGTAATTCGTCAGATCCAGATAGTCAGAATACTCTAAACCAAATCCACAATATACAGACAAATTTAGATATCACTTTTATAATGGTGTCCGTTTGGATGGAAATTAGATACGACAATCAGCACGCCGCCGCCCGAACTTGGTTTCCCATATTCATTTTCACACGGTTTATTATCATGCATAGATTCATCCAGCCACGTTTCCGCAACTATTATTATGTTACAGTTATTCCTCAAAGTTGCCAATCATATATCCTGTAGTTTAGTACGTGTTCCACGGAAACTTTGGTAATAAATATTGAATTTTATGATCTGAGGAACGGACTTATTTCCAATAGTGATTAAAGGGCTAATGCGACTAAACAGCAGCCAATGTCAAATCCACATTATTTATTTGTTGTACAGGAAAACTTTTAATTTTAAGGAATAAATATGCTTCATTATAAATCCAAAATGTATTTAAAACCTTTTGGGCGTTTTGGTTTCATTGTGCATGTAAAATTGTCCCTATCTACTGATCCAAGAGGTATATAACTATAACTATATAACCAAGAGGTTGATAGGGAGTGCCACAATAAAAAGAACTTATGTAGAAAGATACGGGGTTGTTGTGCTCATAATAACATCATTTACATTAGGCAGTATGTATGTGTGCACAGTAATTTCCATGGTAATTTTAGTAAAGCAACATCCATCGTTAGTAATTGCAAAATAGTTTCATTTCGAACTGTTCTCATCGCTCTGGATGTAACATAACGCCTTCGCCATATATACTATTTATAATATTCCTTAGTAACACAAATCTAAACTCGTACTACTACTCATAGTAAGTGTAACCTTGAATTTGTAAGTTATAACAATAAGCCAGTTGTGTTCTTTAGCATCGATACCTTTTTTGATGATGTGTAATGTCGTCATTTTCTTCTATTTGATCACGTGTTTTCCATGTGATTAATTACAAAGGAATTCAACGTGCGACATAAAAAGTCAATTGACGTAACATTTCCACAAAATGCCCATATTTGCAGAGGTGCTTATAATTTGCAATATATGCGTAGACGACGCCATGCCATATAGCAAGCCAAGGATAATTCCGCATAGAATCAAGTCAGAACTGAGTTTCATATATTAGACTCAAACACTGTAAACGATATTGCCAGTGTTATAGGATTTTAGCTGGATACTGCTCAGAGCGGTCCTTTTTTAATTCTTTTAAGTCTATGGTGAAATGGATTATTGATTTATGTGCAACGAAGTCTGTTGCTGATTTATATTAGAGTCTACCTGACGAAGCCTATACTCTGGATTGATCTGGTCTTAACACGTTCATTGCCATAGTAGGTCAAAATGACCGGCACGACACATCTAATTTTGCGATCCTCGTTCACGTCGTAGATGGCAAACGCTACGTACTTAGCTATATAACAACACTGGCGCGGCCCTAACGAACTTCTGTTGCCACATGGTTTTTAGGATTTCTGATAGCATACCAACTTTTGTAGACTTAGAAAGAAGAAAAAGATTTGGAATAAAAAAATTGATTTTAATTTAACAAAAATATTGATATACAAATAAGACCCGAAACAATCGTAAAACCAATGTCATTTTGTGAATATTTTTCAAATATCTGGCAGGCGATGAGCGCGTTAAATAGGTTTAACTTTCATTACATTTTGTTTTTTTTATGAACGATATTAATTTTGTTTCAGATTTGTATTTTGTGATACTTACAAAGCGTGTGATAAAGTAGTATGTGGGATAAGGTTTAGTTTTAGAAATCGCGCAATGATTATGCTTATTTTATATTTTTTTATAGTCTGATTGCAAAAAAGCTATGTCCTTATGCATGAGGACAGTCCCACTGTCCCCAAAATACTTAAAAATGTCCCGCTTTGACAAAATAGGACAGCGAAAATAAATTTAATAAAATGGCGTGAAAGCGTAGCGGTGTGTAAGCCTTGTCGTCCAATTCCTTTAGTTGTCCGTAGGTACTGCGCGTGCGTTGTTTTTGGAGGTGTTGTGCCGTGGAACAGATTTAAAATCTAAACCTGACATATTAAAGCAAATTTGCTTATATCAAAAACTGTGTAAATCCAACCTATCAGACCACACAAGATTAGTTCTTTTTTTAAATTTTTGATTATTAAACATTTTTAGTTTTTTTGTTAATCATTAAACAGTTCGTAACTAGTAGAAGATTAGTTTTATTTTTAAAACAATAATAAAGTTACAGGCGTCCCGATCTGAGGGAACAAAATAATGGTCACGACAGTGGTGACGGTTTACTATATTCGCGATTAATTGCGAGAATTTTTTTCAGGTTTTAAAATCAGAAAAAAATGTTTCATGTCCAGTATTATTTCCGTACTATTTATTTTAAAAGTTATTTCATGCTAAATAAAGGTTTTCATGTAATGAAAATTAGTGCGTTGCATTACACATGAAGCAATTAAATAAAATACATTGATATAATTCTCAGAAAAGTTCACTCTTAGTTGCGTTGAATTTCAATGGAAGGCTGAAGAAAACATGGTTTCTTAACCTTTTTCTAGTCATGACCCTCACAAAATTTCAAAGAACCCACGGTCCCTTTCTGAAAACATAAAGAAGCAGCAAGGCTCGCGAGTTGCATTGACGCGCATCTCGCTCGCTCCAATAAAGGAAGACCGTTAAAAGGTTTTGGTTTTAATTAAGTGTACGTTTTAAAACTGAATTTAAAACCGGACGTAAAAATTTTGAAACAGTCATGAAATCTAAATCACGTTCCCCTGATTTTTTTTCGAAATGGCGCATTCGCCCTTTCTACAAAATACCGATGGAATTTACTCACAATGTTATACCAATTTTTATATTAATTTTTTACGCTAGACTCGTCATTACCACCTTGTGCAGGTGCTGACCGGGCACGGCTGCTTCGGTCACTATCTGCACAAGGTGGCGAGAAGGGAACCGCCCCCGTCGTGCCACGAGTGCGGCGCTGCGGATGACACCGCGCAGCACACCCTAGAGGTGTGCAGCCGGTAGGATGAGCAACGCCGTAATCTGACGGGGACAATAGGGCGGGACCTCTCGCTGCCGGGCGTGGTTGCCGCCATCCTCGGTAGCGAGGAGTCCTGGGAGGCGGTGGCCTACTTTTGCGGAGAGCTTATGTCGCAAAGGACGCTGGACGCTGCAGACGTACGGTGAGAAGGCGAAGGCAGTTCGCTGCTCGCCTGATCCCCTAGTGAGGCCAGCGGGCTCTGGGAAGGGACTCCGGAGCCTGCATCGCACGGACTCGTCTGGGGGGCGGGTCGGAGGACAACTGACCTGCCCCTCCGCTGGCGCGCGGGAGCCCTAGCGCAAGCCAGGGCGGCCGAGCGGCGTCGTGGTGAATGTGCATCGACACCACGGTGCCGACTCAACCGGCGGGAGGTAAATCCGGGGGGGTTTTAGTGGAGTAGGCCCTCCAGTCTGGAGGGAGAGTCCCCACATAACCCCTGAGTCTACCTGGGTTCAGGGGCATATATAAAGATCTCTTCAACCAACATCTACGCTCTCTACTGACTACAGACACAAAATGTTCAGAATAAACAACCACAGTTGCAAAGAAAAATCTATTTACTATTACAGCAAATGCAACCGTGATGAGAACAATTAGAAAATTAATGGCGCCAAAATAATGTTCGATTGTTTACTCAAGTGTGGACTTTTGGACAATTGTTCGTAAATCTATTGGTTATGTTAGCTCGCACGCGATTGTGAACGTGACCTACCTAATCCAAATCTACTGCGTATAGTTTCAGGTCGCCTACAATACGAATGGGTGTAACTTGAAATTTTGAGAATGAAAATGAAATCGCAACGAACTATGAAATGTACTCGTCTTCATTGTAAGTTGATCGTAAATACGTTAAATTAAATCAAAGTCCTATTTATTATGACCACGAGAGTCCATAGATGTTAGTACTTAAACAACAAACAAAACAGGAAAACACACACATTAAGATATTAACAATAATAAACACACAGTGCTTCTATTTTGTCAATGTCCCTCGGCAAACTTCGTGTTTTGGCTGTCGTCGGGTTTTATTCAGTTGCCCTTTGCTACAAACCGCACGCTTTCAGTCGACTTGGAAGTATATAGATTTACTTTTTTTAATTTATTATACAATGGGAGGAAAGCAGTTTTATAATAAATACTTGTTCGAGTAGCGGGGAAAGTAATTATTCCATCGATGGCGAACATACTAACATAGTTATATCAGATGAAGAAATGCGTTCAGATACGGACTGAAATGATAAATAACCGGAAAATATTCATTTTTTTCCTATATACAAGAAGAAGACCTTATTTTCTTTACATTTTTGTTAACTTGCTTATTGATTAAGTAAATTTAATTAAAAATAGTGAAATATTTTTACAGCTTTATATAGTTTACACGGGAATCAAAACAGAATGACAATAAAGTACATTGTTCAAAATTTAAATTATTATAGATTTTAAATCAAATAATTAATGAGCGTGAAAATTAATATTCGTGTGCATTCGGAAATCCGATGGTTGCCGAGAGACATTAAGGTAGAAGAACTGTAAAAAAATACACACTTTCAGCGTAAGCAATTTATCAGAATCGAAACCCAAAGCCTTTGCAAACCACAGTCCGGTCTATCGGTTAGTGTCCTCAGTATGCTGTTGGGGCTCTCCAGCATTCCGCGTCTTACTAACACTATTTTTCTTACTCATTAGAGCATACAACAGTCAGTATTTACAGCCGTAAACATGCAAGAAGCACTGTTGTACCTGGGCAATCCCCAAGGCGTTGGCGGGACGATCTTGATGGGTTTGAGAGGGAGTGGTGGAATATCGTCAAAGAAACGGAGCAGTGGAGGATTTTGGCGGAGAAAAAACTGTCTTAGAAATAAGAAACTATCGACAACAGTAAGCAACAGTGCAAGCAATGATTCCTAAACCAATGCTTCTATCACTGTGTCTCCGTTTCAAGAGCGGCAGAAGGAAGAGAAAGGCATAACGCTAAACGAAATCTGGTGTTTAGTGGAATGTATAAAGGATACAATCTTTAAGGCTCTATTGCGAAAGTCCACCACGGTGAAGTTCTGATGAGGCTCTAGAATGTCCAAGAGATGATGGTGGACCAATTCCCGTTCTTGCTTCGTGGCTTTAGCTGTTACGACGTCCAAGCCTTTGTAGATCTGTAACAAAAACAATCTTATTTAGCACGAATCCAGTAATGCTCACATTACCGCTTGGCGGCAAAAATAAGTAAGATGGCAGTACTTCTCTAGACGAACGCTTTCACAAGGAGCTCTAATGCTCGTAAAAATATTCTTGTCACAGATAAACGAAGCCCTAGAATTACGAAACGTTGTCACAAAGTCCCACGCATGGTATGCAAAGCAATACTAAACTCGATACTTAACAAAGATTGTGCAAGTCCTTATTATTTTAATTGATCTTTGACTTTTTGAATCACCACTGTTGACGTCTTCACATGTTAATTACGACTTTCTGGCTTATTTTGACTACGTTGGGCTGAGGGTCCATTTACATTGTAGCTGTTTTCGAATTGAAATGGCTATTTTCGAGTACAGAATTTTTTATTTTTTTTTCATGCTAGGGCCAAACAATTTTTCGTAGCAGTAGAGCTCCTTGTGAAAGAATTTGTCCAGGGAGGAAAAATACAGACTAGACAGGCAAAATTTAGTTTTTTTTATAATATCAAGTGACGGGACGTACAAGTCGTGCACATGATGATTCCCTTTAATCTTGACCTTAACTCCTTGAACTCGCATTTCACAACGCCTTCCTCTCTTTCTTCTAGTATCAAGCAATCTACGCTACAGTCACTTTCTACTGCCCATGACTCACAACATCCGGTTTTCTCCTTTAGGCCTGTGTCCGAGAGTGAAGTTGAGAAAAACATCTTGGCCATAAAATCCAATGCTGAAGGACTGGATGGAATAAACCGTAGGATGATGTTACATGGTTCTTCTATTCTGGTTCCTATACTTTGCCATATTTTCAACTTTTCTCTTGACACTGGCACTTTCCCGTCATGTTGGCGTCAGGCTGCTGTAGTCCCTGTTCCTAAAACCTCTAATCCATCTCTACCCTCTCATTTTCGTCCTATTTCTATTCTTCCGTTCCTTTCCAAAGTTCTTGAGCGTCTTGTCCATAATCAGATCACAATTTTCATGAACTTCAATAATATCCTTAGCCCTTTCCAGTCTGGTTTCCGCTCGGGGCATAGCACTGTGTCTGCCTTGACCAAGGTGTCTGACGACATTCGCGAAGGTATGTCGTCTCAGCATCTGACAGTATTAGTTCTTTTAGACTTCAGCAACGCTTTCAACACTGTTGACTTCGACATCCTTTTAGCAATGTTAAAATCTATCCTGGTATCAGATTCGGTTGTGGAGTGGTTTCGCCACTATCTCGTTGGGCGAAGGCAATGTGTACGTGTCGATAACAAGCATTCTACCTTCTGTGATGTTACTGCTGGTGTGCCTCAGGGTGGGGTCCTCTCTCCTCTTCTTTTTTCAATATTTATTAACTCCCTTACTCCCTTGCTTTCTTGTCAGTATCATTTGTATGCTGACGATCTTCAGATCTATTCCCGGTCTCCTGTGCATGGTTTAGATAGTTTAATTGCTGAACTTAATGACGACCTTGCGACAATACACAATTGGAGTCGAACCCATGGCCTTACAGTCAATCCCAACAAGTCGCAAGCCATCGTCATTGGTGGCTCGAAGCAGATAGCTAAGATAAATTATACGTCTGTTCCCTCGCTCGTCTTTGACTCCTTCCCTTTACCTTTCAGCAGTGTTGTCAAAAACCTTGGCGTTCTCTTTGACTCCACCCTGTCTTGGGCGCCACATATCGCTGAGGTTAGTAGAAAGGTGTTTGCTGCCTCCGGTTCATTGCGACGGTGGAAAAATCTGATTCCTGTGAAGACCAAGATTGAACTCGCGCAATCGCTGCTCCTACCTATTATGGATTATGCTGATGTCTGTGTTATTGACCTCAATGATAATCTATTAGGCAAGCTCCAACGTCTGCAGAATCTTTGCATCAGATTCATATACGGGTTGCGCAAGTTCGATCACGTGTCTGAGTATAGGAGAAGGCTTCAGTGGCTTTCTGTCAAGCAGCGCCGTGAGGAGCACGTTCTCAGTTTCCTTTATAATGTACTGTATGACCCTCGAAGCCCACCTTACCTTAAGGAACGTTTTCGTTTTCTCGGTGAAGATCACAATCGCGAACTAAGGTCCAAGGCGGATAACTTGCTGAAGCCTCCCTTCACCCGGTCAGGATACTACATGAACTCCTTTACGATTATGGCTGCACAATTGTGGAACGAACTTCCGTCTGAAATACGACATTCCAAGTCGCTTCTTATTTTTAAAACTGCATTGCGTAACTATCTTCTGAAACGTTCCTAGTATGCAACATGTATTTATATATTTATTGGTAAGTATAAGTATATTTAGGTACATATTTTTCTTTATTATTTACAAATATATATGTAAGTCTAGTACACCGTTATTTGTTTAATTTTCTTATTCCACTGGCAACTACTAGGATATTTATTTTTCCTTTGTCGCTAGGGGCAATAACAAATTATGTAGATTTTTTCTCATATCTGATATCTGTGTGTGACAGTGAGTACTTACTTTACGCTCTAAAATTGCTATTAACACCACCAATAACTCGAGAGGACTGCGCATCGCGATACAAGAAAGTGCAGTCGGGTATTTACTGTACTTCTTCTTGTTCAAAGTTGAAGAAGAGCCAACAAAGGCGCGTGGCAGGCGTGGGACCCGACCTGCGCCCGGCCTGCGTCCACGAGGGGTGTGTTATCGTCCATATAAATTACACGGAATTTCACCCGCCGTGTACCCGAGCCGACACGCACCCGACTCGCACCCGCTATCAGTGTGTTTCTCGCTTTAATTTGAAGTATGTAATACTCAACCAAATCTAAAGACAATGTCAAGTATAAAGCTTCATTCGCATCATTTAATAGCAGTAGAGCTCCTTGTGAAAGAGTTCGTCCAGGGTAGTGCTGCCACTTTATCTATTTCTTCCGCCAAGCAGTAATGTCAGCATTAGGTACTGTGTTCCGGTTTTGAAGGGTAAAGACCTTGGTGTAATGACAGACATATGAGACTTGTCAACTTATGTCTCAGGATGACGGGCGCAGTGGCAATGCCCCTTAGATCTTTGCAAGTTAAAGCCCTGAGAGGCACTGCAACTGTTATGGATAGGCGTGTTGCTTACCATCAGGCGCATTAGTTGTTCGTCCAATCATTTGATACCATAAAAAAGCCACGTTCAGGCAAACAAGTTCAGTCGGATCGAAGAATGATTTCGTCATCAAATGCCTATGTGTGTCTGGACTTGGGAATCCTTTAAGGATCAGGTTCAATGACCAGAATGATTATTCTGGTCATTGAACTTGAGCTTCTCACATTTTCCAAACATTGTGAACCATATCCGATATGCAGATTTCAGCACAATGTTTTCTGCTAATCCAAATGTAGGTAGATACGTAAATTTAATAGAAAATTGTAAGTACATACAGTCTCAAGGATCCGAACACCTACACCGTAACCCCACCGGGATACCACCGCTTACGAGCATACAAATACATATTCCAAAGAGATAAATATTCATTTTAATTACAATCACAGAAAAGCTGAGCGTGGCGAATGATTCATGCTAATGTCTTAGAAATATATGCAACCGGGGCAACGAGGAACGCCGCAGCAGCATATTTTATTAAATGATGAAAGGATTTGCTAGGATGGGTTTCTAGCTTTACGTAGAATAATTTAGAAATGTGAAATACCATTAAGAGTTTTAGCCACATTTCATCACATTATTCAGATTGTCGACAATCACTGTTATGGGTTTATTCCTTTCATTTCCGATGTGCCCAACCCGCCGGAAATTAAAAGATGACGATGTCAGTTGACGTGCTAGATGGTATACTAAAAGTACCAGATAACCGGGTGTTGGATTAAAGTTGGACATCTAGAAGTTGGACTGGCAGATTCAGGTGTCCGTCACTACTAACTATATATGTCCATACCTCACTGGCTAATACGTGGATAAACATGAGCCAATTCGGAATTTTAAAACGATGCAACGTGCACGACGATGACGTTGGTAATGAAAATGCTGGTAACATAAATGACAGATTTTAAACTAGAAGAGACAAAAATAACCAAGAATAATCAACAATGTAATAGAAGCACGGATACTTGTTGCTATCTGACGTCTTTGTTATGAAAAAATTGATAACCAATGCACTTTTTATCAAAGCGTTGCCTTATTAAAAAAAAAAACCCTTCCTCTGAATAAATATTTTATATGAAATATGTAATTTATATGAAAGATTTAGCAACACAGCAAACTGAAGAACCTCATCATTATCTTAATTTTCAAAATACACAGAATGATGCATTCCTCAGTATGGTAATTTTATGATATATACATGGTATATTTTAATCAAGCCTATCAAAAATCTAGATTAGAATCTATAGCGGGTGTTACTGTACAATTACTTTGTTTCCATCTGGAAGAATGTTACAAAAAATACATACGTGAAACCAATCATAAAAAACGTATAAATAATTCAGAGTCAAGTTGACAATTAGAGAAGCGTGCAGATAGAGTGGTGTCACAAATTAATTAGAACATAATTAAATTCATTCATCTGATTCAGTGCAGTACTAGTGTATCTGAACTGTCATACAATACAAACAAAAGAGAATGACTTCAACCTGTGTATCTCTAAATCTATCGGGGGGCCAGTATTACTGCGTTAGAATTATTAAAATTATTGAAAAAGACGAAGAAATTATCGATGTAATAATTTACGCAAATGAACTCTGATGAATGTTAAGGATTCACATGGTTAAATCGATATTTTTTTTTTTTTTTTTTTTTTTATACCTGACAGGCAAATATACATACATAATAGGTTATAATATCAAGTGACGGGACGAGCAAGTCATTTCCTGGTGGTAAGTTACACGCCAGTCCATAACAGTTGCAGTGCCACTCACAGCTTCAATCGAAAAGATCTGAGGGGCACTACCACTGCGCCAGTCACCCTGGGACATAAGTTGACAAGTCCCATGAGCATGTAATTTAATTTCACCAGCACTCTTACCCTTCAAAACCGGAACCCAGTAATGGTCACATTACTGCTTGGGTGCAGAGATAGGTTCCCTGGACGAGATCTTTCACAAGGATCTCTGCTGCTACTATAACCAGGTAAGTATTATTATTAAGTGTGTCCTTCATCTCTCCCACTATGGTGATCGTCTGTGTAAGAGTCGCCATCATCATCATAATATAGTCCAATTATATGTATTGTTCTTTAATAACTATATCTCTTTTAGTGAATATCTGAACCTTAAATTTTGAAAGGAAGTGATTCGTGGAGTTTGCTTCTATTTATATCTATTTTGAATATTGATAGCACTAATTGCGACATGTATGGGGTGCAGTGGGGTGTGCGAAAGGAGTCTCCTCGCAATGGCATACTATTCAAGTCCTTAGTACGTCTGGTGGACTCTGGGTAACAATCGGCGAGGACGTCACGTCGATAGGTTTTAACCATCGAGTATATAACCAGAAATAGAGACGAAATAAGGGCCTTATATTCCTGGTAACACATTAGTGATACAGCTCTTATAAATATCAACTATCATTTGCACTGAAATATAGACAGGCCAACTACTGACCTGTGTGTACGTCTCCGTATATTCCAAAAAATATTCTGTATTTATTATAATAAATAATATCTCTAAAAATGCCGTGCTGTTCTATTCGGTGGTGTGGGAAAAACAGCAAAACATCTAATTACAAAACAAACGGAATCACATGTCATCGGTAGTAAAATATTAAATATGTAATTTTGCAATTTTCATCCATTATAGCTAAAGCTCAAGTTAACTGGTCGAGTCGATTTGACGTGAAACAGTTGACGACACCCATTGACGACATCCGTCAATTGTTCGAATTCGGGCTGGCCAATCGGTGAGCAGTTGTCACAGTAATGATATGGCAGTTTTCAAACAAATTAAATGACATTTCGTCTCTATTTCTGCTTATATACTCGATGGTTTTAACCTTTCATTACGATGGCAAACATGTCTCACACTTGGAAATAGCGGCTACTACTAGTGGCGGGTAGCGACAATAACTACTGGGCAATAATAATATAGCGTATGCGATACGAAAAAGAAGAAGCATGTCACCGTACTCTCT